ACACGCAGATAGAAAAAACCTCCCACATCTTTGGGAAGGAGGGGGAGAGGGTTATTTATTTATTTAGGATTTTTCTAGGCCATCCAATCACTTCTGTCTCTGGACGGCTCACAACGATCTATAACTACAACAATAAATAATGGCATCTGTATCCTAAACAATAATAAATAGTAATAATAAATAATGAATTAGATATACCACAACTGAAATACATAAAATTAATTCATAAAATAAGTTCCATTAAAATAATTCTAATAATAATTTTAAAAAATATCATACAAATATTGGTTAAATAAAAGGGTTAGGGTTAGAACACGACATAGGGTTGTCACTAGAGCACAACATATGATTTTGAAAACATAGTTTCTCTCCTTAAAAACACAAGGGAGTTGTCGCACTGCGTTGGGCTGAAGGTCTATCCAGTCTTTGCCTTTGGTACAGTCAAAGGATTTTGGAGGAAGATGCAAGAGACCCTGACCCTGGTTGGATACTCTACTCCAAAGGGACTCTTTTAGTAACTGAGGGATTGCCAGTCTTGAGCATTCTGTAGCTCAAGGATTTCTATAGCTGACACGGCAATCTTTTCCATGTCTGCTCAGAATTAGCCCCCCTGGTTTCACTAGGGAATACTCTGTGGTAAGGATGCACAGAATTGCATCCTGCTAGTGCAATCATACACATGTCTAGTCTTGTAAGTCCTATAGAGTTTAATGGGGTCAAGAAAGTGTGTATGGAATTGCAGCTGAGTAGTGTGATATTTTTAAAACAAAATTAATTTATGCTCAAAGTGATTTAATTTTCTATGCTCAAGATTTGCATAAACAAAGTGGCGTTTCTCAATTATAAGTTGAACAAAGTGACTTCCACAGGTCAATTGCAAGCTGTATTAAATCATTTTGCTCTCTTTCCAATTTCTTATGGGGTATCCCTTTCTTCTCACAAATAGAAATGCTTGATTTTCCTTCAATAAATCGTGGGTTGTTTAATATTGGCCCACTTCTCAACCATTTTTCCAGAAACACAGGATAATTAGCATATAAAAACCTGCTGATAACTGAAGTCCAAGATCAAAAGTAGTGGATAAAGGCTCAAAAGTGATCATTACAAGAGCTTTGTGCCTATAAATGTCCCACTTCTGGTGAACTCCTGAGCCAATTAATAACAAGCGGAGTCTTAAGCTGAACCACCCCTGCACACATTCGCTCCCTACTGAAAGAAAACAAAACCTTCACTTGCCAGGAGAAAACCAACGGTCAACCCTCTTGTGTTATCATTTGTACACATGGGCAGATACCTAAATAGTGCTATGAACTAAGCACTGCAGCCCTTGTTCCTTCATGTTGGGCTCTGTTTAATGGAACAAATGATGGGGTTAACTGATCCATAGCCTTTTGGAGGGCCAGTGTGGTGTGGTGGTCGGCGAGATGCACTGGGACCCTGCAGATCTGGGTTCTAGTCCCCACTCAGCCACAAGGCTCTGTGGGTGACTTTGGACCAGTCAGAGACTCTCAGCCTGGCCGACTTCCCTGAGTTGCTCTGAGGTTGGGTGGAATGGAAGAGGAGGACTGTGCGAGCCACTGCAGGTCCCTTACGAAGAGGAAAGGAAGTGAGACATAAAGGTAACAATGGCTTTTTTAAAAAATGTGACACGGACCTTGATTAGCTTAGTCACTTGCTTTTCAAGGCAGTTGTCTGTTTCTAGAGCAAGTACTTAAAAACAACTGTGGGCACTACCTTAGAAGAGGCATTCCAATATCTTAGAAGAGACATTTCTACCGCATCTGAGGGAAAGCCTCTTCCCTCCTGCAACACGTGCACTCATCCACTAAGAGAATTTTAGCTTCAGAGGTACTTGCATATGCAAATATAGGTATACCTAATACAAATGTATATCAGTTGGGCAACCTGTACAATGGTTCTAGTGCAGCCCCAAGCACTCTGACAGAACAAATTACTACCAAATCGCAGTGACAAACAACTGAGGAGGCCGCACATGGGAAACGAGCAGCTTGTTTCCAAGCAAAATCTGTTTCTTTTACATTTCCAAGGCGTTTGCTGCAGGATTTCAGCACCAAGCAACCATGATTTTTGCTCCCACCCCACAATTCTGGTAGAGTGATGATAGCATGAGTGCAAAGATCTGGCAAGTGGAAAGCAAACCCTGAGCCACACAAGGTGGCTTGCTTGATTCCTCAACTAAAACTACTTTTCTCTGTAATAACCCAAACACAGCAGGAGGAAAAAGAGAGGAAGGCAAACAAATGATCCTGCATCTTGCATTAGGAAACCCTGGAATCCCCTCCGGATGCCTCTTGGAGCTGGCAAGGGCCACAGCAGCCCTGTATGCTTCACAGGTGCTGGAGCAAGTACTGGGAAAGGTCTCTGCCGTGAAGCCAGGGGTGGGTAGACAATGCTAGGCTAAATAGATCAGTGGCCTCACGCAGGATGTCCCTTGAATACAATTGCCGTCCTCCTCCCCGACTCTTGATAGCACATACTCAGCAAACACTACGGACCTCACGGTGCAAGAAAGCAGCAGTAAGTGGGGAGGTGGCCGATCAGCATGCTTTCTCAGCGCCATCACCTGTCAAGAGGACCTGAAGCCATGCTGCGATTGGCAACTATGTCAGAAGGAGCACTCCTGTCCCCCAAGGAAGACCGCAACATGTAGATCTGGTCCATGCATAACGGCAACCCAGACCATGAGTTGAACATGGGTTCAGCTTGGGCTGTCATTACAGATCATTTAATAATGGATTGCTACCCATGGGCAACCCAACGTTCACAGCGTAACAATGAACTATGATTTCTCTTCCTGGGTTGCTTGGGGTCAACAGCCCATAGTTAAAAAAGATCAGTGCAGGGTTTGCACATAACAATTCACAGTGCAGCACTAAGCAATACTCATTCCATACTCTGGGTTGTTACATGAGCACTAGACGATAGTATCTGCTGTACAGAACTTTTCCATGTGGGAGCACCATTCCTTCCAACATTGTCATGGGGTCTGTGAAGCGAGAAAGCAGCAGCATCTCCTAAAGGGCTGACAAGCTGGTTTTGGAGCTAAATGCCAGGCTCACACATACACACTGGCTCCCCTTCTGCTGCAACAAGCAGTTAATGTTCTTATTTCATTTGCTGTAACTGCTTTTTTTGTCAAGTGTTTTGGAAATCCCTGTGACTGAAAGGTGGTCTTTAAAAATTGTAAATTAATAAATCAGTTGAAAACAAACCAAGTCTTCAGTCCTGCGTAGTTAAGCATATGAATAAACAAATAAAATGTGATTTTTTGACTCTAAAAAGGTGAATGCAAGTTAATACTTTTCAATATGAAAGCACTCCAAATGCTTAAAATGATACAAACAAAGAACTTTGAAACAGTCTAAAAATGTTGGATATTTTCCTTCATTGCAGTCCAGAGGAAATTTTGTAAGACACAGTCGCATACAATAGTGTCCTTCTGCTGCTGCAACAGAGACTGCCGGGCAAAGGGATTTTCTTTCCCCCTACAACTCCCCCCCCCCAAATCCCCTCCAGAGGGAAGTTCTTGGCACTGGATTCCAAATGGGTGGGCAGAAGAGCGTGGAAGGTCCCTCTCTCCCTGCCCTCTGCCCCCTCTTGCCCGTTCAGCAGGGTCTCCTGATGCTCAGTAAAGCATTTTCACAGAGCTGGGGCAGCTGTTCCTGGAAGAAGAGAAGGATTCCCCTTCTTGATCAGGGGACTTGATCAAGCTTCCGTCTGGACCTTTGTCATGATATCCTTATCATGATTTCAATATTCAACAATCAAGTTCAGTATCAGAGAAATCATGACCACAAAACAAATTATTAAGCTCATATTCTGCTGAATTAGCCCAAGGGCTCTCTAAACAGATTACAATAAATTAAAACCGAATATATCAATAAAAACAATCAAATAAAACACCTAACAATATCTAGGAGGAAAGAACAGTGTACCGCTGTGGGATAATAATGTCAAACGGTGTAGATTAAAAGAGCAATACTATAAAATCACCTTTGAATAACATTAAAAGAGACGTGAAAAAGCCAAACGCCCAGAAGTATTCCCTGATGTTGACATCAGAGGTCAGCACTGAGTCAGCGCAAATGCTGCAGCCGCGCTCTGCCGACAGCGCCGTGATGCCGAGCGAGGTTCCCAGGGTGGGACTGAACTTCCGAGGGGGCACACACAGCACCACCTTTCTTTGCTTCCCTACTGTGGAAACTTGGGGACAGTCCAAATCTATAGAAACAGCACATGCTTCCGCACCAGGTTTGCAACGCTGTTCTTTCTCTACCACAGAAAATTGACGTGGTAGGGGGACGATAGGCTAAAATCTGTGCTAATTCTCTGAATATAAAAAGGAGGGGGGTTTTTTTGGGGGGTGGCTCCAATATCAGCGGGGCTATATAACCACTCAGGAGTTTATTCAGGTTCGCCTGGCACCGACGTTATATGCTTTTTGGCACCAGATCAAGACCTTTTTATTTACCCAAAATTTTAATGTTTATTTTAATTATGCTTTTATTGATATCCTCAGTCTTGTTTTATCTTGAGACTGATTGATGTATTTATTAGGTATTTATTATACTGTAAGCTGTCCAGAGACAAACCATATTGGAAGGGATAAAAATATCCTAATAATCAATCAATCAATAATATTCATGGTGCTGACCCTATTTTGGGATTAGTGTGCAAAGCCATGGGTAGGTCCTTTAAAGCCCAGAGCAGATGCACAGCCCTGCTGACTTTGGGGCCACCAGCCTCCATCAGCTTCTACATCAGGGGAGTGTTCATACCTATGAAACCCACTGGGAATCTAAGTGGTTCAGGCCAGGAGAGGCTCTGCCATGTGCTATGTCTGGACATTTGAATCCCCTTTTGAATAACAGAGAATGAAACTAATCCTGAATGGGCAAGGGAAGACACAGAAAGTGGTGTTCAGCAGAGATGAGCTATTAATTCAGAGGAAGGAAACTAAGGAAGTGACATCCACTTACTGTCATGCCTGGACTGTAGTAGATCAGTTTGAGAACCCGGAATGCCTGGAAGCCTTTCAGCACAGTGGCCACATGGTGCATTTTGGGGTTGCTTCTGTCGATGGTGTATGGGAGGTAAGCAATGAGGAGGACAGCAAAATCATACTGTTTATAACCATCCTTCCAGTAATTTATGGGGTCCAGATAAAGGTTCATCAGAAACTCTGCTGAATAGATGGCCAGAATAATCAGATCCGATACCTGAAAAGAAAACAAAATGCATGCAAAGGGTAATGCTTTATTTGGGGTTTGAGTTACGAAGGAACATTCCTTTGCTGCTAAAAACTACCAGGATTAATTAGACAAGGGGTGAGGACTGCGTGGCTCTCCAAATGTAGATGGACGGCAACTCACATCGGCCCTAGACAGCAGAGCTAACACAGATCTGATGGGGGTGCAGCTGCAGTCCAGTGAGAGACTACCCCATCCCCGGGGAAGGCCACGGGCTCTTGGCTGCAAAATAAGGGACTTCCAAAACTATGTCAAGATTCCTTATCCAATACTGCCAGATTTTTCAACATTTCCCAAAAACAGTGTCTATTTTTTCAGATATTTAGGCTTCCTCTTCTTGATGCACGTTACAATGATCAAAGTATTTTCTTTTTACTGCCCTTTATCCAAAAGGTCTGCTTATTCGAGGCTGCCTTGGTAGGGCCAGGATCCCTTTATAGGATGTTAATTTCTTTGGAGGAAAGGAACATCCTCAGTGATGTGGTCAATTAGATGGAAAGGATGGAGGCAAGCGTGGATTAGCCCAACAGGCATTGATTTTCCCAGTCAGTGGATTGTGGAAATTGAGTGAAACTGGGATATTTAATAAGGCACCAACATTTTGCTTGCTTGCTTGCTTGATTGATTTTATTCTATGTGGCCCAAAAGTCAAAGCTTTCTGGGTAGTCTTCAACAATCAATCAAATACAAAAAATACAATAACAATACAAATACAATAAAACACAGGATAAAATCTCAGTGTGCAAGTTTTAAACAGCTAAAACTTCTAATATGCAAAGATACAACACAGTTTAACATCCAAAATATTTCCATAGATGTAATTAAAACAGCAGATATAACCCATCATATGCCATTAAATGCCTGGAAATAGTGGGCAGTTTTGATCTGACACCAAAAAAGCTGATAATGTTGGCACCAGGCTGGCTTCAACAGGGAGACTGTTCCATAATTGGGGACAGCAGTGAAAAGTCCCTTCTCCTTGTTGCCTCTTTCTGGGCCTCTCTTGGAGGTACCAATCAGAGGAAGTCTCCAGATGTACACAGGGGTTGGGTAGGCTGCAGTTAGGAGAGGTATTCCAGAAGATGCTGAGGTCCCAAACCTTGTACGGCTTTATTTGTTGAAACCAACACCAGCATATAGGCAGCCAGTGCAAGTGGGCCAGAATTTGTGTTATACTTTTGGACCTTCTGGTCCCACTCATTAATCTGACAACTGCATTTTGCAAAAGCCTGAACAGATTTCAAGGACAGCTCTGCATAGAGAACGATGTGGTTTAGAGATCACCAGAGCACATTGTACTGAAATGAGGCTATCCCTGTCCAGGTAGGGGCATAGCTGGGTAACCAGCCAAATCTGGGCCTCAGGTGACATAGATGGATCAGGGGACACCCCCCCCCCCCCAACTGCATATGAGAGATTTCACAGCCAAGCATCTGCAAGGACTTCTTGTGAAGGATACTGGGTATCAGTCCCTTTTGGAGAACATACATTTAATTTTCATGGCATGGTCAACACACATATGACCCAAAGTTTTTGGGTGTTGTTTTATGTGTGGTGTGTGGTGTAGTGTGTTTTGTGGTGTTATGTTGTGTTGTGTTTTGAAGTGATTTTCAGAAACTTACCCAGTGTGAAACAGTAGCAGGTCTTCAAGAAATCCAGAGCAACAAAAACAACCAAAGCAAATCAAACATAATTTGACAGACAACAACCGTATGGAGTCATCTAGTGGAAGAACCATCACCCAGTGCAGCCCAGAATGATAGCTCTGCCCTCTTAATTTGATGTCTCATCTGCTCTATAAGTCATTTAAAGGCTCTATCCCATTAAATTCCAAAGCTCTCCAATACCACAAGCCTCTAAGGATAGTGGCCAAGGCCCAGCAGTGCTCGGATAGTTGAATGGAGGACCATATCTAGCCTGCAGCTTTCCTGTCCTCATACTCCTATTTCAGTACCTGCCCATCACATCCAATCTTAGGCAGAACTGTGCTGTAAGCAAATATTTTCACCACAAAAAGTGCATGAAATGCTGCTCACCCCCACTCAAAGATTCCTCATTATGGGTACATTGGAAGCTGCTCCCAGCCATTTCTCTGCTGCTTCTCAACTGGCAACATTTCATTGTCTTTCAATGCATGACTCCAGGATATCAGGGAACCAGCCTTCCCCAACCTGGTGACCTGGCTTTGACCTACAGCTCCCATAATACCTGACCCTTGGCCAGATTGCCTGGGGCTGGTGGAAGTTGTGCAAATATCTAGAAGGAAGCAAGTTGAGGAAAGCCTGCTTGAGTAGGATGAAAATATGACATTGTGTGGCTAGATTTATCTATTTATTTATAAACTTATATACCACAACCTATAGCCCAATCCAGGGCTCCCTGGGCAGTGTACAATATGTTAAAAATCAGTAATACAAAAAAGTCCATAAAATACCACATTACAATAAAAATAAATATAGCAGTTTAAAATCAATGAAAAATCCATAAAAATATAAACAATATAAAATATAAATGTTAAATGTTAAATGTATTAATTGTTAAAATATCTAGAAAATAAGACAGTCTTTACCTGATGCCACCTTTGAGGAGCCCATTCCAAAGAAGTGGTGCAACCACCGAGAAGGCCCTTCTTCTATTTGTCATCCCCCTTCTATTTGTCATCCCCAGCTTGGAAGATGGCACTTTAATAAAGGCCTCTGATTCATAGCTTAAAGAATGTGTAGGTAAATAAAGGGAAAGGCTTCAGGTATCCCAGTCCCAATCCATTTAGCAATTGTGATAGCAATCTGATGCCACAAAGTCAGTTCAGAATGAGGTGATGCTTCCTACCCTCATTCAGAACAGGTGAACATATACATCCCTCTTCACAGCTTCCACCTTCATCACTTTTCACACTTTACAAACATGACTGAAAAATCAGAAGTCATATTAGCTCAACCCTAAGCTTATATTTAACTGGCATCAACTATATATATTATTCCTGTTGTTATTCTGAAGATAGTTCAGTGTTCTGCCTCTGGTTCCTGAGCAACATAAGAAGCAATTTTAATAAGTTAATACAATTCTGAGAAGTCAGGAAGCACTACTTCAAACAGTTATGTAAGTTATTTATCTCTGAAATACTTAACTTACATACCGTATTTTTCGCTCTATAAGACGCACTTTTTCCCCCTCAAAAGTAAGGGGAAATGTCTGTGCGTCTTATAGAGCAAATGCGTGTGTGCCCGACGCCCGGGACGCTGCCAGCCGCCTGCACCACGTGGCACCACCTGGCTGGCACGCGCTCAGCATGCCCTGCTCCGCCCCCACCCCCCGGCACAGGTGAGAGCTGTGCCGCTCAGGGAGAGAGGTGTGGAGGAGGAGGAGCCGCGGCCTTTAACCCACCGGCCGCACAGAGAGTACGGAGAGACGGACTGCTCACCCCCACCGCCTGGGAAGACCTGCCGCTGCTGCTGCGCCGCCCGGAAAACCATCGCCGGCACGCTGCCGGCCGCCTGCAGCACATGGCACCACCTGGCCGGCACGCACTCGGCACGCCCTGCTCCGCCCCCCCCCCTCTGGTGCAGGTGAGAACTGTGCCGTTCAGGGGGAGAGGTGTGGAGGAGGAGGAGCCGCGGGCTTTAACCCACCAGCTGCACGGAGAGACAGACTGCTCACCCCCACTGCCTGGGAAGACCTGCCGCCACTGCCGCCGCTGCACCGCCCAGAAGACCACCACCGGCACGCTGCTGGCCCCATGTGGCACCACCTGGCCAGCACGCGCTCGGCGCGCCCTGCTCTGCGCCCCTCCTCTGGCGCAGGTGAGAGCTATTAATCACAGGTTGGTGTGTGTTTTCAAATGGCAACCCGTCTTTTAATGAAGCCCATGGGGAAGTGATGGGGAATGTGCCTGTGATTATCAGGAAGCTCTCCATGGATCAGTTATCTGTTGGTTGATCAGACACATTTTTTTTAGGATCAGTGGATATTTGAACAGCATTACCTTCATGTATGAAGTTTATTCATCAAAGGCTACTTAGTCCGCTGTGTGTTTGATTTACCGTACAGTATCTCATTTTTTGTCAGAAGTTTTTTTCTATTATTTACTAGTAGGGCAGCGTAGACATTACTGGTTTTTTTAGATTTGTTATTGAATTGTCTGCAGCAGCTCTTGTATAACTGGTGTAGATTGTGGATTCCTTCAATAATTCCACTACTAAGAAAGGGATGTCAGTGATTGTGAGCAACAGAGCTTCATAAATTCTGACTCTAGTGGTGATGAGTTCTATGGGTTCAACGAAAACTAGAAGAGTACTCGAACTTTAAAGTCTCTCTTTTGTTAATGACAGTGATGATGGTTCTTAATGCCACTGTTGAATGCTGTTCACTTTATAAGGTTGAAATATGGTATTACTGTATTCTGTTATAGTTTATTAAATAGTTTAGTAAACCATTTGATTCAGAATATTTTTTTCTTGTTTTCCTCCTCTAAAAACTAGGTGCGTCTTATGGTCAGGTGCGTCTTATAGAGCGAAAAATATGGTAATTTGAGTTATGTACATGTATCTATATATCTATCATAATTGTTGCTAGTTGCAAAGTCATGTCTGACACATTGCGACCCCATGGACAACACTCCTCCAGGCCTTCCTGTCCTCCACCATCCCCCGGAGTCCACTTAAGCTCACGCCAACTGCTTCAGTGACTCCATCTAGCCACCTCATTCTCTGCCGTCCCCTTCTTCTTTTGCCGTCAATTGTTCTCAGCATCAGGCTCTTCTCCAGTGGAAGTCCTTCCTTCTCATCAGGTGGCCAAATTATTTGAGTTTCATCTTCAGGATCTGGTCTTCTAAAGAGCAGTCAGGGTTGATCTTCTCTAGGTCTGACCGGTTTGATCGCCTTGCAGTCCGAGGAATCTCCTCCAGCACCACAATTCAAAGGCCTCAATTCTTTGGTGCTCAGCTTTCCTTATGGTCCAACTTTGACAGCCAT